TAGGAAAGAAAGAGCTATCGCGTAAAGGGATGGAGTGGGAGGCGAGGGTGCGGGTGCGGGTGCGTGGACCTGCGCGCGAGCGACCGCCTGGAATTCGCAGTATTGGGTGCGCGAGGGCGCGTGGTGGATCGAGGGTGTCAGTCACAGGCCATCTGCTCAGCAACGAGCACGTAAGTTCGCCAAATGTACGCAGAATCGCTGCTCAATCGGTCTCTACGAAATGTGACTCGCTGTGCAATCGCACGCTTGCTCGCGCGTCGCGACGCGACGCGAGGCGCCTCGGGGCGACCTAATTTGTACGCCGTGGAACGGCACGACGGCGAGAGACGCGAGGATTTCCGCTTCGGCGACAAATCGCGTACGAATCCACCAAGTCCGCCGGTGGTTTCTGTGATTTCCTCAAAAATGGCGGGTATCACGTACGAATTTCATCGCGCGCGAGCCTCTCTATCGAGCCCCGTGTCTCGAGGACGGACGCGAAGATTCACGGATTGCGAGTGTTCTTATGCCGGCGACCAACAACTCGTTTCTGCCGGACGAGCCGATCGCGTACCTCCATCGAGTGGTTAGTGAGTTGTTTCGCGAGGAGCACGGTGTCCGTTCCTATCTTCCCTACTGACATGCAACTATTTCTCCTTTACAAGGCTTGCTCCACCACGTATCTCTTTACTATAGTTCTTCCTGCTAGAAAGAATACTTGGGATAACGTATATATATAGATAATTCTCGAACGAGACTTACACAGAATTCTCTGTCCTAGATGGAAGCACTTTTTCTATTGATAGTCTGAATACTATTCACAATCCCTTTCCGGTTGTTTTCTCAGTGTGAAATTAGTCTTGGTAGTTGAGATAGTCAATTGAAAACTAGGTAATTAGATATTATTGTATTTTGTCGATACGTTCTGTTATCAATTAGAAACATATTCGAAAGTCGTTTTGTATTTCAAGTAAAATTTAGCAAAGTGTGATTCACGTAGTAGCTTAGAAGCATAATTACGAAATGTACTTAGAGGCATAATTACGAATTTATGCATCTCAGCACATTACGAAGGTCTTCGAGGATATTGAGTGATAAAAATATTCCGTATAAGGCGAAAGAAGTTTACAATTCATTAGATGACGTTATCGCCATTAAGAACGGACACAATACCACCGATTTGTCACTCACAAACGAGACACGCCCGCAGAATTTGCATCCGCGCGATGCAACGTGGAGTAGTAGCCGGCTCATAAAATACAGACGAGTCTAGTTTGATGTTTTCACGGGGGACTCTTACGACCAAATCTGTTATTCACGATCCTCATACAACGTGAACGTATAGTTAAATTTTGAATCTAGAAAACGCATTCTTTTGAACAAAATGTTTTTCATATATGTACTTTTATAAAACTTTACAAATCTAAAAGATAATTCAACGTACAAGTACATAATGCAGTCTGTTAATTAGAACTTCTTTGTATTATATTATTTTTTCAATTTTTTGGTGTGATTTTATGCATGTCTGAGCTTTTGATAAATCGCTATTGTAATTTGTCATACATATTAACTAATAACATTTTTTTTAATTATCGTGTAATGAATCAAAGCTAATATTGTTCTGAACATAGAATAATCGATACGATCCAATGTACGATATTTTGGAAACACGTATCATAAATTAGATCACGTAATTTCTTCTGAGAAAGAAACACGTGTTTCATTATCATTAAAATCCATATGTTCTACACGTTTGGCGCCATCGTTTAGTGCCGATGTAATGAGATTTCTTTGAAAATGAGCTCAAAGGATTTAACGAGCAAAAGCCCTGACGCGCGCTTTCCGGTTCATTCACGAGTACATTACGATATGTTTTAATAAATTGGAACGTTTCCCAACATACATTTCACAGATATTAATACCGCGAATGAAAAGTAGCTGCATTATCGTAATAAAGATATATTATATTATACGTATATTGCAAGTGCTCGCGAGCTTTGTTATATAGAAATATAAAATCTTGTAAAAATCCAAGGCTAATGTAAAATGTAAATCTTTCGAATTGACTTTTAAACTTTCACACCGATGAAGAACGCTGAATGGTAATTGCATATGCATGTTGCATACAGCAATGGTAATTAACAAAATTATATAACCGACTATATATTTCGCATGAAAGCTTTAGGGATGCGAGGACAAGAATAATGAGAAGTTTGGCGGTTGTTATTTATTGTTACGATCGTTCAAATATTGCGCAAATAAAACAAATTTTAAACTTTGTGGGATGAGATAAATTAAATTTTATAAAATACCGTTTCAATTACAGTTACAGTTAAACGTGCGAATTCGACAAAACTAAAATCAAGAATATAATACGTATTTATTTATAATACTTTTTATCTTTTTGTACGTATATATTTTTCCACAAATAAATATTTAACTTAATAATAAAAAAAGGAAAGATTAATTATATTAAATTTAAAAAAATATAAAAATTTCGCAAAAACTTAATTTTCTTTTAAATATATGCAAATATAAATTATATTATTATGAAAATATGTCCACACACACACAAGTCAAATAATTAAAAATTTGAAATTTTGATTGTGAATTTGTTTTTCATTAAAAAGCAAATCACAAATGTATGATTATATAATATTTTTTGTCATATATATATATTAAAATTATATTGCAATTCAATATTAATAACAGTTACGCAATCTCTTCGTTAATTTTCTTTTTCTTTAATTTGTTTACGCAAAAAAACATTAAGCTACGTTAAGCGAAAATTCTACTCGATATCGACGAACAGTTTATAAGCGATCGGACACTTTTTGCATTTTTCACAGTTCATTGATGCCGTTGAGATTTCATTGCTTTTTCCTTTTTATACTGATGTATCGTTTTTTGCCTGCATCGTTCGAACGAATGATATCGTTCTCGGGCGCTGCCGCGGAAGTAATTTGAGCTCTCGACGTGAACGCGATAATACGAATATTTTTTCAATTCGATTAATGAATGTCTGATACTCGACACCGTTGCAGTGCATGATAAATTTTATGTCGGCCATTCATCGTGCGAATAAATGGTGAAATAATGACTGGGGAAAAAATCGCGCGTTGACAGATATTGGTTTACAAAAGGCAAATAAAGGCATGAAATTTTTATAATACGCTTCCTGACAGCTAACTGCGCGAAGCAACGATGGATGACAAAATTTTGCTTTCTGTACTCGAGAATTCAAGCCCGCAATTTCATTTAATATTCGATCGATCTCACAAACACTCGCACATATTCGTGGAAAACTTATCAGTGCCTTGCACGTGTTATAGGGAGATATCACGGGTTGATTCGAAAAATATTTGGAATTATTTTCAAACAATATACGTATTTGAAATTTAATCTTTCAAATTTAATAAAATTGAATAATAAGAAAGGCATTAGTAAAAAAGTAAAGTAAAAAAAAATAGATTAAAAGATAATTTAAATGATTAATGTTTCTATTTTACATGATGGATGATACTGTGCTATCAGCTGATTTGACTCTTCATAAGGTTCAGCGTAATATTTAATATATATTCAATGAAACAGACATTAAATATATTGAAAAAATGTAGCTTGACGTCTGATAAATTAATTAATTGGAATTTTGTAAAATTACAGATTAGATAGTGCATTTAATTACTGTTCATACAAATGTATATGTAACATTACTGGAACGCAAGAAAATTTGACAAATATCTCGACAGAATAATATCCACATGTCTTCAAGATTAAATTGGAAGTTTCCAAGCAAAAAAGCTTTTATTACACGACATGTGAGCTTGCCGTTAAGAAATATGGTTATTTGTGGTTTATCTGGGACAGTGATATGGAATAAAGGGCAGTCACGAGTGAACGGTCAATGGCAGAAACGTTTTGCGGAAGGGCCAACTCTCTCGTGCAGTTCGATATCGTAAGTAGGACGTGAACCTGGATGACTGTGCGCGCGCATTCATGTACGCGTACACACGTAAACATTTCCGTGCAATTTAAACGTAAATCTTCCATAAAGCATTTCCGAGTTATCCGGACTATCGCTGGAGGCGAAATGGTGCGCCGCTGGTCGCAGTCCAACGCTACGACCAGCGGCGTCAAACGCCGCCAGATGCATTCGGGGAGTCATGACGGGTGCACGCTTTCTTTTGCGAGATATTATTGGCAACAGGTGTACATGGTAAAATCTCCCCTCCCTTGTGTTATCTGCTTGCCCATTGGGAATACAGTTGATTTGCTCGTATATTATTAATAAATATCCGCGTGAAAAGTTTTCGCTTCTCTGTTGAGCCCGTAATAATGTTGCGACATTGCACGCCAATTTCTTTCATTTACATCCAACAAGTTATATTGCAGTTTTTTGCGATACAACGATTTGATGTAATAATTATTTATCAACTTTGAAACAAATAACTGCTCAATTGGTTCATTGAAAAATGATAAAAGAAAACCATATTCATAACTATAGTCATTGTGAATACTTTATGTATGACACAGTGTTTCATGCTATTTTATATTTGAGAATGTATTTTATAATTTAGAATATTTTATTTATTTCGAAATTTTTAATTCTTTGCACTACTGTTCATTAATATAAACAGAAATATTGCAAATTTTTGCACTTAATTGGATTATAAGATTAAAGTAATTTAATTTTAGGTCTTTAACTTTACTGAAAAAACTTCTCTTCAAATCATATCAATGCGGCTTGACCTCTTTTTTTTAAATTTCTGGCTTAGTGACACGGAAAGATGTAGCATTTCGTTGAAAAAGTATATCGGTCGAAATATCACAACGCTGGAAGCCCGGAGGCAAGGGCAGGGAAAGGAGGGCGAGATGCAGCCTGTAGGAGGTTTAGGTACAGAGGTCGGAGGTCAGAGATCGGAGGTCGGAGGACGCGAAATGATGGTCGGAGGATAGCAGGGGCCGGGGGCGAGAAGGGAAGCAAGAGGCTGCAGCTTGGGAATGATCAATACTACTCGTACTCCAAGTTTCCGCGGGGTGAGACGGGTTGGGTAGTACCAGAAATTGAACGTTTTCGATTTGCAAGAATGATCTAAAAAACCGTTTTCTCGCAGAGGAGACGCAAAACAATTCCCCGTTTATTTATGCTTAACATCGGTATGCCAGTATCGTGTTACGTCTCGAGTGAGTTCTCTCGGATTGCGTTATTGGAATTTCGATCTACCTTTTTGCAATGATAGCGGGAATGTCATCTAGGAAAATTCAGATACTCGCGTAATTTAATTATATTTGGGACGAAATTTAATTGTATCTGAAATTCCTGTTCGTGTATTCGCGATTTTTTCTGCCGAACTTGCATAAAAGATTGATGTACAATTGCAGTTTTTCGTTGTTCTATTTTCTCAGAATTACTTCAATATGTCTATCATCGATCACTCGGTCGGTTAGCTTTGTACAGTGAAATCTCATTAGAATAAATTTCATCTTTTGAATAGTTTTAAAACTTCGTTACTTTAATGTCAATCAAATTTTATTATAACGAAAATATTGTGTTGGACATTTTGCACGATGCAAATTTCTGCCAAGCGACATATTTATTAACAAACTGGGAATCGGTTCTTCATCATTATCATTTTATCAGAAAGTTTTTATTTTTAAGAGTAAATATCTTGAATTTAATTCAATTTCCAAGTTTTAGAGATGAACGAAGTTTCAAGAAGATGGACAAAAGAAATCGGGCCAAAAAATGTTGCACTTCTTATCTCAAACAGAATTAAAAACATTATTTCAGACTTAATTGCACCGAAAGATATCTAATACCTAATTCAGCGAATTTCAAAGTTACGTGGAAAGATCGATTCTAGTTCCAAAAATAAGTTCCAAGAACATGTCTTTAATGGAAAGATTGTGAATTTAGGGCACATTATAACTAAAACCTACTATCTGAATGTGCTTCCATTAGAGATCAGAGTTATATCGGCAATTAGTTCTACGGCACAAAATATCGCATTTGCTTCTGCAAAGAAAACTTGGAAATTTTCGACGTAGTAATTTTCCAACCGTCCTTTTCTATAAAATCTATTCGAATAAGGCGTAACTAAACCGATCTGTCGATGCAATCGACTTGTCGCGAATCAACGATGCATGACGGAGATTTCCCGGAACGTCGCATCGCGTCGCGATGATGCAAACTGTGCGCCTCGCTCGCGTAAAATGCAATCGCGTGCTGCGGCGACGCGAGTGCATCGCTGGCGTCCGATAACGCGCGCTGAAATATTAATGGCACGAGGCGCACGTAGGTTCTCAAGGTTTTTCTCACTTTCTTCTAGGCGGAAACGTGTCACTCCGCCGACGCATATCCGCGGCGGCGAGTGGAACGACGACGCCGATAGACGAAGCGCGAGCTCGTAAAGCTCCTAGCGGGAGTAACCGATTTTACGATACGTCGTTTTATCGCGTCGCAAGTGCGGAATTTCGTGACACATTATAATGGTTTCGCGAGTGCTCGACAACGTTAACGATGATACGTTAATGAGATATTTTACTAAGTTAATGAGAATACATATGCATACAAAAGAAAAATTCTTTTATTTCATAAGTGAGGTATACATTAAAATTATGCAAAAATGTTTTATACAAAAAATGATAATAACTTCTCGTAATTTAGTTAGTTTTTAGTTACTTTTTCACATAGTTGTAACAATTGAGGCATTTATCTCAACGTTTCAAGCTTAAAAAATTCTTTACGATAAGTTTCATGCTGAAGACTGGAATTAAGGACGAGGAATCGAAAACTACAGTTTTGGAATACTTTGTGAATCTTAGACACGAAACTTGCCGTGAAGGAATCCTTAAACTCGTGAAACGTTGAGATAAATGTCTCAATTGTTACAGCGACTGTGAAAGAATAGACTGTGAAAGAAATGTTACGAAAAAGTTACTGCTGTACTTTTTTCACATTTTTCAGAATAAACACTTGTGCAAGTTTTATATATACTTTATATATATTGAACGACTATCATACTTTAATCTCTGAATATTTATTATATTAAGAATAATATCAGGACTAATCATAAAAGAATCACAAAATTCTCTATTTTGATCCACTTCCTTATCTCACGCCAAAAATACAAATCCTTCTCGATGCTCCGCTTTCGTCGACCCTCGATCGACTCCTCCGCGAGAAACGAGTTGTCACCAGCTACGCGATTGTTCATGCGAGTCTCGTGCTACACGACGCGTACGACGCGAAAAAAAGGCGGAAAGCACTCTCTCCTTTCTCTCTTTATTTCTAGATTGATGGTCATAATCACGATAGCCTTCGGCCGACCGAGACGCAGAGACGCATCGTCGCATTGCGATCGTAATTCTGCCAGCGGAGAGTCATAAAACGAGTCTGAAATCGCGCGGAATTGCCATTGCGTTCACGCGAACGGAACGAAACGGAAAGGAAAACGGAAGTGTCGATCCAGGGGCGCGTAACCACCACGTCACGGCGGGGCAAATGTTCCCGACGAGCTTTCGCGAGATACCGCCGCCGAGCAGCACACTTGAGAAGAAACGCCCCCGCCGGCAGGAGCGCAACGCCGCCGGCACCGTCGCCGGTCCGCTTCCGGTACTGCCGGTCGGGCCGTCGCCGTCATCGCGATGAAGTAAACACGATCCATAGGCCTGTCGACTGCCACAACGATGCATCGCGATTATTGGCTGTGCCCGCACCCAAGCGCTTAAAACGTAATCGATAGTGTTCAACGATCAACCGTCGCGTCTTGTATCAAGCGACCTAAAACGCCTCGTCTAAAACGGAAAGCACCGGAAGCGGGAAGCAAGGAGATACATTAAAGGGTATAGATCGGGGTCAAGAGACGAGGCTGCGATAGCAGCGAGAACGAAGACGACGCCGACGATGACGATACGATAGGCGATACTTTAAACGATAAGGGTCACGATAGAACGAATAGTGTGATCGCGTTGATAAGCCTTCTCACATAAATCATCGTATATACAGGTAAATACATACGAGCGCACAAATATATAAGTACGAACAAACGTTTGTAAATATTGTAATACGCATATTTAATTACAACCACGCGCACGCGGGCGTGTCGATCGACAAGCAATAAGAGCAATAAAAAAAAAAGAGAGAAAGAATATCGTGTTACACACGTCGGATATCTCAGTGATTCCTGTTATACTGTGTTCGAAAGAGCTTGTTAGTTCTCGCTAAACCGCTCGACGAGTTTACGCTTATTTCACCGGGAACGTCGAAAAGAGTGCACCCGACGGCAAGATGGCATTCGCCGCAGCGAGGATGATCCTCAAGGACAAGCGCAGGAAAGCTAGCAAAGAGGACTTCGCACCGCGAAACAGAAGCAAGGTAAAATCGCACTTGAATTATGTATATCAGATTCCATCATCGTTCACGTATCGCGTTACTTAATCGAGCGACCTAAAATTTGCTATAAATGCGCGCAGATATTGCGCGCAAGAGAAATTTCCAGCGGAATTTCAAAGGTTTTTTTTCTTTCTTAAGAAGAAATTCTTAAGAAGAAATAAAAAGATTGAGAGTCATCAATTTACGCAAGTCGAAAATGAGTGATTTGTCTCGTTTCTTCTTTGCGTTACTATAAGAAACTTAGTACTCTTTAGTGAATAAATGTTATTGACACGCTAAATTAAAATAATATTAACGCGAGTTTTTATCGTATAATTAGATCGAAATTATACGCTCGAGTTATGATTGTGAAACTTTTGAAACGGTACATGATGGGGAACGAAAGCCGGAGTATGCATAATAACCGCCACCGGTGATAATGATACCGTACGCGGATCACGCGAGACGTAAAGTAAGCAAGATGGCTTGTTTTTATAGGGTAATTATTTTTACGATTGACGTGAAACGCAAACGGCGAACTTATCGCATATTGCCTTGCATTGTTGAACAGTAAACATATCTTCCGGACGCGGATATGCACACTGAGTTAATTGAGGGGATCATCGTATTATTAAGCAATTACAATATTTCTATTACTACACAATATTACGAATATATGATGAATGCAATACATGTAGTTTTTAATTGGAAAAAAAGTATGCAGAGAGTGTCCCAGATCAATTACCCTCATTAATAGCAGATTCGTGAGGTTATTTGGAGATAAAAATATTTATATCAAAATGTCGAAGTTACAATAATTTTTAAATGAGAAGTGCTTAATATTTAATAATCTGATTATCAAAAATTTATGCGCTCAAACACGTCGCATATTGATTTTTATATTCTTGTCATACAAGAAACCTCAGAAATCTACTATTAAAGGTTAGTCTGAGACACTCTGTATATTTTACATTTTACAATATACAAGATGTTTAAGATTATTAATCATTAATAGCAGATTTCTGAGGTTTCTTACAGGATATAAAAATTAATATAAATACGAGATACTTAAGCAATGTAAATTTTTGACAATCTAATTGGTAAATATTAAGCCCTTCTCATTTAAAAACTATTGTAATTTCGATATTTTGATGTAAAGATTTTTGTCTCCAAATGATTTCAAACTTTAAGAATATTAACGAGAATGATATGATTGTCTGGGGAGACACTCTATATATGTGATACCGTGCATAAAAAGAGTCGGTTCGATTTTTCTATGTATTCTTAATTGTTGTGGACTATTGTGAACTACGACAATCAACTTATTTTTGAAGTATATTATTAAGAAGTAAATATGATGTATTTAGAAAAGAGTTAGATATATGTTCTGAATTATTCCATGCCCGTATTTACGATTTAATTGCTGACAGATTGAATTTATATTAAAGAAAAGACAGAGGACAAACATGATATATTTTAAAGATATAACTAGCGATAAACAATCCTATAATAGGCATTCGTTTTTTGCAAGTGCAAAAATGAAAAGAATTTAAACCTTTCCTTATTCAAAGAGAGAAAGTTTGACATAAACTTGTTTAAAATTAATTATTGAAATATTGCGAGAATTCTATGAGCCTGAAGCAACAACCAGCGTGGCATAAATGACATAGATTTTTGTAGATTATCAGATTTGTTTATCGACTCAGATTGGCACTAATTAACGGCTAAGCACTAAAACTGGAAAATCAGGAAGATGTTTTATAACAAGAACAATATCAAGGAAAACCTTAAAAGTAAAGCCGAAAATTAAGATAAAAAATTTTATAATATTTTTCGCTGTCCGCATGAAGTTATTACACGCTAGCTGGTTTAAGAAAAGGCATAAGAGGCGTGCATACATGTGTGTGCTTATAATTCGCACATGTACACATAATTAATAACATGCGCGGTATGAAAACGAACGAGAAAGGAAAAATTTTGAGATGACGATAATAGTACAAAGATATCGATTGAAGTTCACACACGCGTGCACGCGCACACATTAGACGCTATCACATACACCACAAAACGACACACGCAAATGACACACTACTATGAAAGTTCATCAAAATTGCATAACTTGCTCTGTCAACATTTGGGACATTTTTCCGATACGCGCGCTCGCTCACGTTTCCATTATTTCATATCAACATCTGCACATTATTGCTAAAATTTTCTGAGATTCAATATTTTATTCGTCAAACTGTCTAATCTATGTGTGTTTGTACTCTGTATATGTGTGTCCCAGATACCCATTGCCAGATAAGAAATGATTGCTTTTTATATGTATATCAATTTTTTTACAAACGTTATATAGTCTATCTTTAGATAAAGTTTATCTTTAGATAAAGTTAAAATATATAAATAAATGTTTAAAAGTATAATTTTTAGAGTTACATAAAAATTCAGCTTACTCAGTTTTAAGAAAAATGCAAATTGACGTTAGTATATTATTAATATAATAATAAGCTGTTGTGATTTTTGATTAAAAGCATAAAGAATTTATAAAGACTTAAATTTTTTTCTAATTATGAAGCTTATGTGCAAATCTTATTTAAAATTAGCAGTTAGTTTGCCTGATTAATAATCAAACAAAAAATAACGTTCAATATGGTTAAATTATAAATTGCCAATGAGAAAATAAACAGATATTTTTATAATTATTTAAATCAATTGACGAATAAATCAACAATTGTACAAATATAATAAATGACTTACCTAAGTGCTGTGCCACTGCTGGATATTTTAGTGCTTTCTGATCATCGTTTTGTTCCTTTTTGCTCTCTTTCTATTCTGGTTGATCCTTTGCTTTAAACAGTCCCTGTGAGAAAAATGCAAATTGATATTAGTATATTATTAATATAATAATAAACTTTTGTGATTTTCGATTAAAAGTATAAATATTTGTAAATAGACTTAAATTTTTTTCTAATTATGGAGCTCATGTGCAGAATATTGTTAGTTAGAATTAGCAGTTAGTCTGCTTGATTAATAATCAGGCCAAAAGTAACATTGGATATGATTAAATTATAAATTGTCAATGAGAAAATAAATAGATATTTTTATAATTATCTGAATCAATTGACAAATGATCAACAATTATACAAATATAATAATAAATAATAATACAATAATAAATGATTTACCCAGCAACTCTCATATACGCCACTGCTGCATATTCTAGTGCTTTCTGGTCATTGTTGACCTTTCTCTTTAAACAAGCATCTTCAGGATATATGCAGCATTTCTGACTGATCACTATGCAGTCATGTATTTTCACTACACTTCACTAATTCACTTCACTTCACTTTAATCAATTTCACAAAATTAAAGATTAACTAACTAAATTAATAATTTATTTGCGTTTTACGCGTTTACAAAATAAAACATATCTGAAATTTACTGTACTTTACTGTATTCAACGCGTTATTACGAATATTGAAAAATACGTAAATTGTAATCACGTGCGAACTAACAAATGCTTCGAGATGATCGTCCGTTGTTCACTTCGGTATTTTGACCATTTGTTTGAACGTTATTATTATTAGCGTTAAATAAATCTTCGGTGAATTAAAAGATGCAAAGAACATAAAGCGAATGTGATTCGACCTCGATTTGCGCTAATGCGGTGTGCAGCTGAGACGAAAAATTAGAAAGAATGGAAAGAGGAAACCAGTTTGACCGAAATTCTCATTGTACGCGGTGCAAGTTTCCTGCTCTGCAAACTTCCTGTAAGTTTGCAGCAAAGCTGGACGAAAAAGAAACTTACTGTAACAAAATATGATGATAATTTACGAATTCAATCGCGTTTTGTCAAACCGACGCTTCATCAATGTAGGTTATGTTGACGCCAAACATCAAAAAATGCGTTGCATAACGCGATCGCGCTGATTAATAGATACAGTGAGATGATTGCTCGTTGTTTAATTAGATATTCCCGATTTCCCCCTTACATTTGCAAGTAGAGCTCACCTAAGATGCAAAAAAAAGTACGAAATACGGAAAAATTGCAACTTGCTTGCTGCACCGGGAGGCGTTCGACGTGAACTAAAGATTAACTATGACGTCACGTTTATGCACCTAATTTCACGACCGTGACACAGCGAATATTTTAATATCTCGAGCACGTAATATTATAATAGCTGTTTCCCGTCATAATAATTCACCGAATGCTTCCGTTGATGAATCAAAATATCTTTAATACAATATCTTTAATCTTTAATACTGAATAGCGCTCGTAAAGCTTGTCCGTTGGGCAAATAAGCGTGAAGGACGCATATTGGAAAAAGTTTCGCGAAGCGATAGATTTGACTAATACCAAGAAATGCGTGCCATATTCATAATTGATAATGAATTTCATATCTCGAGGCAATCATTCAGCGCTAATTTTATAACCATTATGGATAATATTACCTGCACACGGAATTCGTTTGAAAGAATCCTAACAAAAAGCGAGCAATTTGTTCGCAATACCGGAGTGCTCGACGTGAACTGGCCGTCCGCTAACATTGTGGCGCCAACTGTCTAATTTCACGGTGTTAAATATTTCAAATTTTTTCACAAGCAGTGCTCACTTGCTTTGTGAAATCCGTTATGGTGATGCTGCAAATATCAGATAGCATATGCGATATTCGTCGAATAATTAAATACGCAAAAAAGAAATCGGAAAATATCAAAAAGTAAAATCGCGCAACAAAGCGCGAGAGAACTTCGATTTCAAACGTTGATAATCACACTAAACATATGTTTGCGCGAGTGTCTCAGAAGACAATCGCCCATCGCTAAATTTGAGGTTACCAATATTGTTCGCACACGGAGCTTACTTTGAACGGGAAAGACACGACAAAGAGATTTACAAGAAAGGCACGGAGACGCGGAGCAATTGCGATTCGACTGTGACACACTGAAGCATACTGAGTGATTGTTAACCTATTTCGTGGCATCACGTTTATATATGTAAGTAATTTTATATTATTACGGCGAGATATTTTGATATCTCGATGCCTCGAAAAATTAAGAATAATTTTAAATTTATTTTAATACAAACAATAATTCTATTCTTGTTTATACTACAATTTTTATCGTATTTTGCATATAAGCAAAATATTTTTTAATGTCAACAAAAAGCACTTTTTAAAATAATTATTATATATTTTGGACTGAAGTGAAAAGTTTATAATTCACCACTCACTTTTTTAATGGATTAGTGTTGTAGATTTAAGATTTTAATCGATTTTTATGAAGAAATGATAGATTAATTATGGGTTTGCTATTTTAATTTAAAACAATCATTTTCTTGATGACATACTGATTCACTAAGAAATTAAATTTTCTGTAAAAATAGATATCTTTTGCAATATCTTTTCGCGGCTTAACATTTACAAACATAAAAATGGCAAACCAAAATTTACAATAAGGAATCATTAAATGCAGTAAGCATTGCGGTGTTCTCCCGCGTTCAAGATTGTGGCAAAGCGACGCTGCTGTGGAGTGAACGCAAAGTAGGTCCCACGTTAACAAGTAGTCGGTCTCGATTTGACACGCGACGTAAACGACCAGGCCGGGTGTGTCAGAAGGGAAATAGTTTCCGTCGAAACACAAAAGCGAGGTTCGATCAATGCGTCGTATTTCGTTCGGTAAACCCGTCACGACTCGCCGACGTGACAGCTCCACGATTTGATGGTCTTTTTTTTTCATGTTGCAATAGATAGATACGGGAGCGAAAGCGCGCGCGCGCGCGGGATCATCAATTAAGCCAGGCGTAACTTTAGATAGAGCTTTGTTCAACGGTAATATGATGGATCGTGCAATGTTTCTCTCGAACTGTAACTATACACTCATGCGGACAGCGTTTGCATTAATAATCTCTAAATAATGCAAATAAAATCCAAACGTTATTGCAGACATTTTGAAACTAAAGAATATTATTATTACGTCTTCAATTATTATTATTTAGTCGTTTTCGATATTGATAAGTAAAATTAAAATTTTGAAAATTATAAAGTCATTTAATCCATACATTTATTACATTAAATTTAATTCATAAATTTATTATATTATTTAGAAATAGATAAAACACATATTTTTTAGAGAAAGTACGTTTACAAAATTATGCGAGCTGAAGAACAGTCTATCTGGGAAAGAAAATAGTGTGATAGAACAACACACACACGTGTGATGTGCAGTGATTTGTGACAATTCGATGCCTCAACCTGACATCACAAATCGAGTTGTTATCGTTTATGCAAGCGATCTCTCGTGAGAGATCATGCGATAATACACGCTAGTATTTCGCACTGTGTTGTTGCAGCTCGCAATGTGCAGCACCGTTATTGCACTATATATCTGCAACATGCTAGTAATCGCGAATAAAAGCTATATGAAAAAGTTTTCAATATGCGAGGGATCGCGAATAAAAGCTGTATTAAAAAGTTACATGCGTTGTGACAAATGTGGAAAGTTTTTGAACGGGTTCAAAGTTTCTATTAATTTTGTTTTTATGTAACAAGTGTCATTTTGAAGATAGTTTAAAAAAATATCATTTTTAATGATATGATTTCGGGAAATGAGAGAGAATTATAGTAACAATAATTTTGAGTTTTATAATGCAGTTTATAGAACATTATATTTGTTTATTTCAATATCGTACAAATATGATGCAAAACAGGTCCAAAGTTTCTTTAGTATGTAATTATAACAGTCTCAATATATAACATAAATTATCTTTAACAATATATAATTAAATCTGCAAACTGTTGATAAATTTATTTAATTATGGTGCTCATTTATTACATGCATAAATTAAAATTTTTTATTGGATAACAGCGTTGTGAAATCATATTTTTTCTCAAATATTTCATCGATTATTACGGTGATAAGAGGAATATTTTATTCAATGCCGATATCAAGTGCAGACCTCAATTTAAATTTCCCGTTCGTTTAGCTTGAAATAGATTTTTGCCACGCTAAAATGTACAAAGACTTATCTTATGTACAGCACACGTTACTCACATATCAAGAAGCGCGACTATCAGCCTGATTTACGACGCATTATCACTTTTATTGTTCGTATGAATCACATGTTCGCACCATCAACTAAACACACTGTACCTATAGTATAGTGCCGTCAGTGTTATACCTTAACATTATCTATACTTTTTTAACTATACAGTGGCGTGGTAATTGGTGACCTATACTGTACTTGTGTTTGCAGGCTCGCAGCGCCAGCACAAGTAGCTTTAGAAGCCTGAGCCAGGTATATACCAAGATAATAATCCAAAATTTAGTTGAGAGAATTAGTGACTAGCTAATTTAGCTAGATATAGTCGATCACTTATTACTCGCTCATTTTTAGAAACATAGATACCATTGCTAATGCGTAGAGGCGTAGAGCACGCGCAATTTCGCTAAAACATTTCGGCGTAAGTTTGCAATTCGTTTTATTTAAAATTCCTGGTCCATCGGCGCGGCCGTAATTGGATTATGACGTCAGAAGCGAAAGATTACGAATATCTTTTCTCCCGTGCCACTTATTCGGAGCGTGTGTAACGCGAGTAAAAAAAATTTGTATGATTTCTCGCTTCCGACGTTATAATCCAATGTAGTTGCGATGAAGGACCGCGAGCCTTGTCAGCAATCTCTTTTGCAGAGTCGGCTTGCCGCAATACTCGCTCGCCGATAAAAATGATACTCGACAAATGAAACTGCGACAGCGCCAAGGATCTTATTATCACTTGCCATGTATTCCGCGAATTTTGGCTTAGGTTTCCGCAGTATAATCATACCTCTGACATGAACGTCTGACAGGTCATCTCTCAGACGTGTTTCTAACGACGTTTATAACATAATCGATTCGAGAATGTTGATGCCGTGCATGCTGTTCACATCGCTTTGATACAGCACTGGTCATTAATTGAACGGTTGAAAAGTAGATTAAATCGTGAGAAATGCTATCCAGCATTGCATGACACGCATTTCCTTCCGACGTTGTTGAGAACAAAGTTGCGAGCGCATGGAAATGCATGTCCCGTACTCTTAGCACTTTTGTTGCCTTGTTTTCCCCTTCCGTGAAGTTTCCGCAGAAAACGGAGCAGTAAGTATATCACGAAAGATCCAGAATAATAAACGACCGCAATTACACTAGAAACGTCTCACATGGAGAAAAAGAGAAGGGCAAGTTCTATGCTACCCTTGTTGCGGTGCGCGTAACGACACGAATACGTCGTAGGAAAGCCTGCCGCTAATGAGAGCGTTTATGCGACTCGGCGTCGTAATAAAGCCGCAACATTTTTTTGACACACTTCCGCGCTTTATCGTTCTAATTATTCAGTCCTTTTTACCTCGCCGCGCTTTGCATGCTACAACTCCAACGTTGAAACATCTGTCGTGAATAATTCCGTAATCTGTTAAACACTGCGCTCGCACGCATGAATGACATGTCGCTTTATGAACAAATAAAGAAGTGCACGAAATATTTCACGAGAAAAAGTTGAAGCGGCACTTGACTGGAGCGGATCGATTAATTGGCGACGTGCACGAAAGACCGCGCTGACTTTTCAATTAAAGCCTTGGCATAAAAAGAACTGTAGGTATACAAATCTCGGGATAAACTCTATAATAACATTTACGTGCTTTTAAAAAGGAAATTCGATCTCTCGACTTGTGTTTGTCGTACATAATTACAGATAGTCGCAATTTTTTCGAAGGTATATAAAATTAAAAGTAATTAATCTCGATTGTATTCACTAATGAATATAGTGCTTGCAGCTCTTTATGTGTCAAGCCTTCAATTAATGAACCAGTGTTGGAATATCGGAGATGAAAAATCTACCTTCTTTTGTTCATTATCTTTTTCACATAAAATTTTTTATAAATTTTGTAATATTGTAGAAAAACTTGGGTGGTTTCTTGAATTAATTACTAAAATTGAAAAATAATATAATAACAAATAGGATGCAATAAGAGTAGTAAACTTAACGTGTGCAGTGCAGAATTGACATTTTAAAAATAATGGTCGCAAAATAATGGCGATCGTTCACTTGATTACGTCCATTGTTGTCGCGATTGGTACATAAACTTGAACAGTGCAAAGTTTTGCGTGGATTCTTCCACTTCTTAACCCGTAAATACCATGGGTCAAGGACTGTTTTTCGAAGAGATGTATACGTGGGGAAAAATCGTTACTGCTTTTTGCGAGTTCAAACATAAATTATTCTCGTATCTCTGAGGAGAGTATAAAAGCGTAAAAGCAAAAATGAGAGAATTAGAATAAAGAAAATCTTCGAAATTAATGCCGTGAGTTTTAACGTGAGATTTTCCTTAACATTCTTTGTAATTCTGCAGTAACGATTTAACGCGGTATTTGCCGAGCCTTTTGTTGAAAAGTAAATGGAGAAGTTTATGCAAATGCAATAGGGCTATTCGTGGAAAGAAAGCACTTGGGTGAATAATTGTTACTGCTTTTCGCAAATTTGATTTGTCGCTCTTCTAACTTCATAAAAAGTGTATTTCAACAGAGTAAGCAAGAAGGGAAGAAATCGTCGAAAGTTAATGCTTCGAGATTTAGTGCAAAGTTCTGTGTTGTAATCACGATCTGATATTCCGTTCATCATGTTAAAACATACAAGAAGACAAAAGTAGAAGCGAAACTAGATCGAGGTTGTCTGAAAAGTAATCGTGTCTGGGTCTTCTTTGAGATCGAAATCCATTTCCTTTCAAAGATATATATAGATATCTTGAACGGTTACAATTATAGCGCAGGGGATGTAAAAGATGTACACGTTCGGTCTCACGGCGTATCGACTGATTCGTAAATTTGGCGCACCTTTAATCCTCTTTTGCCGGCGAAGATTAATCGCTGGCGTTATGAGGACAAACGGGAGATCGTCACGAAAAGACTCTCCGCCGACGCCGATCGAGACGGCGAAGAATAGCCATTCGTGCCAACGTTAGTTTAGAATCGAGATCGGGAATCGATGCCTTTGACCACGATGCCCTCGTCTGCCGCTAAAGCAGCTGCGTTATTTGATTCAATTATTAATCAACCGGTTCTAGACCTTGCACGGCGAGTGCAGTGACACACTTCAAGGACGCGTCTCTTAGATCTTATGATTGGTTCCATGACAAATTGAGCAATTGAATACACATCGTTTTTGGTTCTGCAATTATTCTTATACCCGATTAGTCATTCTGCGGTTTGAACACTCATCTTTCGTGTTCGTAAATCTCGCTACAGCACGACATTATTCAATCTGGAAAATCTAGGCCATCAGTAGCTTTGCAATTTCGATGACGACTCGTAGTTTCGGTGCAATTTTACCCCTCGATTATTCTGAAGCAATTGGAGAAAGTCTGAAATTCTACTTTACTTCATTCGTATTATAATAGGATTTATTTTATCTAATATTTATTATTTAAAATATCTCTTATTATTGTGTTATTCAGAATAAAATAGAAATAATTACACGCGTAAAGGATATTAATCCGAGTAACAAAGGGATCATAATTGAGAACACAAACGACGGTAATTATACTTGGTTGCGCTTTTACAGTGGCAACCGTTGTTGTTTCTATTTAGTCTACGATGCTCCAGTGTCTCGCAAAGTATAGTCTTTCAAGCGCGGCCGCAATCATCCTCAATTATTGATCCTTCGAAAGAGGTTTCCGGGTCTCGCTCGCAAACACTACGAGCAAAACTTGAGTGGGTGAAATGGCCGAGATGGGAAATAATACTGTGCGACGCATGTGTATGCGGTTACGCATACCAGAAAGGACGGAAGCGAAATGGACACAACTTTGATTGAACAGTGTGATGTATTTATTACATGATTATTGGACATAAATTTTTTCATCTGTTCAATCAAATTAGTGGAGAGCAAAATTTGAAAATATACTTTTTACTTATATACAATTGTGTCGGTTGCAATAAAATATTATTGTTATATTGTAGTGTGCAAAAATTTTACATAATTGAAATATTAATTAAACTTTTGAATGCAGTGTGAGTTAACTTTTTTCTACTATTTAACAACAATTTAAAGCTAAATATTATTATACAAACAACAAAAATTAAATTTATTTTATTTTAATTTATTTTAATTTATTTTACTTTTGCTCTTTTTGTTTAAATTACTCAGATTTCAAATTTTAAGCTCATTTTTCTCAAAATTACGTAAAGCTATTTACTTTGTCATTGTATTCTGTAATTATTAATAATATGTAAATTTTCTTGAAAAACAAATATGTAATTTTTTAAATTTCTCTTCATGATGCAGCTGCACGTTACTGTGTAATATGTAAAAAAGGTCACGTCAAAATTGTCACATCTAAACTAGTAACTAGGTCATCAAAAGATCGAAGTAACTTTTAATCTACTCGTAAAATAAAACTGATTTAATGCATCTTCTTTCAGTGGCGCTAATAAAATTGTGTATTTGATAGATTATAAAATTTAACCGATATAACATAGTTTATAACAGGAAACAAATTTTACATCTATTATGTGAAAAGCATCTCATCTTTCAAAGGATATCGTATGTCTTCGTGAAATGGATATCATGACATATAACAGTGGTAGGACGATGCATTCAGCTATGGTGTGACAAGATGAAATGCATTTCTCATGATACTAGAGATTATCCTTCATTCTTGTCCGCCTGTCACTTTTTTAAAAGACAATAATGCAATATAGCGAAACAAAGTTATGCCGCATTGCCGAAAGAGTGAATAGCGTGCATACCATAACGTTATTTAAGAAAGCAATGATCTAGATAAAAGTACACAACGTGTGGCACGCAAATTCGTTTTATGCGATTTGCCTTTGAAAAGAGTGCACCACGTGTCGTGGCCTGAAAAAGTTTGAAAAACTCATTTCTCAAGTTTACAACATTGCTACAAAACCCGCTGATGTGTATACAGGTTCACTTGAGATTTCATCTAATTGAGCGGGCGGCGGTATATCAAGATGACGGAAACAAGTTCGATGATAAATAGTTTTATAAGCAGTTGTTAAGAACTCTTCGTCATTTATTTTAACCATATCTGCAGCGTGAAAAAAGACGATGGCTTTCGGATAAATAGCTATCCAGAATTGAATTACATATTTGATAATAATTAATGAGATTATTAATATTAGAAGTGTTACTGATGCAGTTTAACGAAGATCAAATTTAATTATTATTTTATGAATAAGCATTACGCTGCGAGCAATATGTTTATTGATATATTTACAACATTTGGATAAACGATCTTCTCCCGCAAAATGCGCGTCATTTTGAGAATCTAAATACAAATTAATTGTGGAATTTAATATCTGAGGTTAGCAGAAATTCGTCAACACGTGTAAATTTTTTATGAAAACACAAACAATTTGAAAATAGTATTTATATTTCATGTTTTTTCTACAAATATGCAGGCAAGTTTTATCGCTTTTGCTTCGAATGCCATTAACTTTCCATTCGTTTCACCGTGTTTAACATATTTTTTTTATCGTGTGTAATCATTTTCTTAATTTTTTTCAAAACTACGTGTCCGACGTTTAACATCGTTTTGTATTTTCAATCAAAACATACGTCGCGGAACTATGTAGTCGGACGATAACTAATGACTGCCGGAAGTCTGTGTAGGACACGTAGGAAACACGATCGGACCCGAAGGGTTAATCAGAGACCTTCGGTCGCAATATTCCGTAATGTAAAATGCCCGCAGTTAGCGACCTAAATCCGCATTTCCGCGCTCGCGACTCGATGTACGTAACCGGCACACTATGCAGCGGCGTACAGACGATAAATGGACACGATGCACGCGCTATCCGATCTAATCGACCGCGCGAAAGTAAGTCATCCGCCTCTACACCCCGCTCGCCCGAGAGGAGAACTTTCGTAAGCGCCCATTAGCGATCGTTATTAATTTCCCTCTGGGGCATATCTGCGAGTCCGCTGCAATAAAGGGGAAAAAGACGAGCTTTAAGCATGCGAAAATTTGTACGAACATTGAGTAAAGAGAGAAACATTGTGTGGTCTTTAATCTCAGTATACGAATGCCACTTGACGCAAATCGTCCTGCAGCATAATAGCTTTTTAATTTTTAATTAAGATAAGAGATAGCATTATTTCGAAAACATTATATGCCCGCATATGCTGACGAAATGCCATATGATGAAAAATTTTGTTCTAGAACGTTGCTTATTTTCTGAAAGTGCATATCAAGATTCGATAAAATAAATGTCTTATCTCGCTGTAATAAAAATTGGTGTCAATCGAAACAGAACGGGGATGTGCACGCGCGCGCGCGCGCGCGCGCGGCGCGCGCGACCGTGCATTGATGGTCCCGAATTTGACCGAGCTTAGCTTGATTCTGCGAAACGCGCGCTTGCGTCTCAGGTGCGAGGTGGGGGGATAGGTAAGAAGAAAGGTGCGAGTTACAATGTATGCGAATACGAGCAGCCCTGGACGGGGCGGTTTTGCAGCGTTTACACGCGAGCCCTGTTTTTGCGTAGCGCGATTCGCATTAAAGATCTCACCTCTGATAAATCGTCGCACGCTGGCTGCGTGCGATAAACGCGCGAGTGCTCCAGCAAAAATGATATGCTCCCGCGTTTATTTTGATACACTTTTGATACACGGTCACGCGATCGATCCGTTCGTAGCGTCGCATGCGCAACGAACGATCGCGCGCTCAACGTACGCCCGGTCCGATCGATGTACCGACCATTTTCCATGTTTCTGTACGAATCTCTCGCGACAACGGCGACCCTGGACTGTTACCAGAGTGGGGGATCCTGTAGCAACATTTTCTATATCATGTTAACAATACTTGTTGACAAGATTGACTAGTGAAAAATGTAGTGTACAATAGTCGCAAAAAAAAAAGAAATAGTAAAATATACGCATGAGTGTAATAATATTACATAAAAAAATTCTAGGCAAAGATGTAGAATAAAATTTATTTATAGAAGGTTTTACGTTTTCAAGGGAAATAATTTGGAAGATGGAAAAATAAGAGCCAAAACCCAAAGTCCAAGTAAAAGTTAAATATAAATTTGATTTTGGACTGAAACTCTGCTTATAAACAAGTTGGCAGAATATAAAATCAAGTGTGATAATTTTAATAAATTTTAGAAGGACTTAGTATAAAATTCAGTTTGAAATCTATATAATATATGCATGCGATTTGTTTTACTTTATTGTTAAGAACTTAAATCCGCTTTGTCCCGAAGGTATATTTTGCTTCGCGATAGTTGCATTAGTGCATTAAGTCTCTTGCTTTATTCATAAGAAAAATGCTAATATTAGATCTATATATATAACTCGGCTCATTGATTACGTAGTTATTTTTATATTTATATTATTATATAGTACAGATTATAAATCTCTCTAGAATTAGTTTATGATCAGAAAATTTTTAGTAGACATTCTTAGTAGACATATGAATGATCGTATACGAATGATTTGCAAATGACGTATAAAACATTACGAAACGTAAGTATTTGAGAATTATTTCGGTAGAACGTAAAAGTAGAAATTTTATAGCATTGTTGTAAGAGCTTGAAAAATTTCAGAGCTTGAGAAACGTCGTCTTCTGCGATGCAATGAGTTGTACATAGGTCATAGACTCCGTCAAGACCACAGCAGATAGTGAATCTATAATTATCTCGTCCGCATTCGCCCACGTGAAGCATGCGGTCTCTTCATTCAGTTATTAGTCGAAGAAATTATTTTTAGATCGTCTATATGTATCACGAATTCGTCGGTATTCGTTGGACTTTGCGGTCTTAAATAAATTCTTTTGTCTTATATTGCCAGAATGAACGGTCAATGGACTCTCGGCATCTCACTAACTTGCAATTTTGTCCGCACTCTGTACTTTAATTTTTTTTTTTTTCAAACAGTCCATAAATCTCCACCCACGAAATATACAAACAGTTCAGAAATAATTTTCACGCAAATGTTAAATTGATTTATTGCGCTGTCAAGTCAACACGACGATTATAAATAATCTGAAATTATATTTCACTGCGGCGGTATTAAGCACAATCTCAAACATGACACGTTAAAGTTTAACTGTCAGTCAGTTAACTGAATTTTAACGTTGACACAATTATAATGTATTTTAGAAAATATTAAAAGAAAGTTTACATCTCTAAGAGTAATCTTAAAGATTACATTCATAATTAAAACATGCAAAAATAATTTTATATAGCTTTCAAATTTTATATAGTTATTTTCTTATTATAAAATTTGCCTATGTAATAAATCGGGAAATATAGAAAAAAAAAAATCTCGATGTCGTGCGTCACAGATGATAATCGCGTATAATGTACGTTCCATCTGATATTTATCAGAGTTTATTGCCTTTGATAAAATCCCGGCTAAAATAATGGCTAACGGAATCTTGTCTCTATAGGCACGCAACAAACCGGCGGATGGTGTGGGTCATGTAAATCAAAAGGGTGCTTCCGGTCAGAAAGCGCCGGTGGCTGGTCAGAAGGTCGCGCCGGGCGCTAAGGGCGCGGCGAAACCGTCCCAGAAACCGTCAGCTCAGAAAGGCCAAGTGAAAGTGACACCCAAGGCGGCCTCCGTGAAGACCGGCAAGAACAAGAAGAAGGGACAACGACAACAGTACGATCTCATTGTTACCATTAACTTGGTAAGTGATGTGAATTATTTGGCGTTGATGCCTGTCTAGAAACACTATCTCTATTCCAATGCCAATTTCTTTAATTTGTTCCAATTTTTATTTTAATATTACAAAAATGTTTGAAATATAATAAATGCGTTCGTATAAATGATCGCACAAAATGTCGCAGAATTTCGATCTTAATTTCAACGATTGGTTCTTTGACCGGTTTACACATTTTTCTTAAAACCTTTTTGAAAATTATCTCCGAGTTCATCAGCTTCATTATTAAAATTAGGGTCAATATCTCTTGGACATCTTGCATGTCTTGGAATTACGTGAAAAACATTGTCATGTATATATGACTAGCTAATTTCAATTATTCATCATATCGTAAGGTCATTCGCCAAACGGGCGAAAGCGTCATTGGCAGACGGGCTTCCCAGACGACCCACGCGAGTAGCGATCATCTAATTACTTTATTATTCATAGAAGCGGACGCAGCCATCGATTAAACGCGTCACGAATCGCTCTTGTCGTGCGCTTCACGTTATGCGTGCACATCGGTAATAAATACGTTACGATCTGACCCAGTTGAATATGCGATGAGCGGTCGATAAGCTCCTCATGTTCGGCTAATATACGCCACGTATGCACGTGCGACGTGCGTTGTCAAGATACGCCGAAGGAAAATAAGCGTCCTGTCGTTCGAATGGATTGACATAATTAGCGACGTATTTCCCCGATCACGTTGCTCTATTTTAGGATTACATTTCTAGACGGGATTATTGACAGTCTCATCTAATACTAATGTTCATTCACAAATTTGCATCTTTGCGACTTTAGTGCGTACAGCAGTCCTGTATTTTGCATCTTTCGACGATGAGGGAATTAAATTTACAAAATGCTCAGCTATATTTATTATTTGTCATTAAATTGCGAAGAAAATTGACTAGACGAAGTATCTTCATCTAGAGACATATTTGAATGGTAGCGGATAGTTTTCGGAAGTTCATCCTACGCTCATTATCGCCAACGCACAAATGTGACATGACGGGCAAAATATCCGGCTGTGCAATAATATCGAAGAGCAGGGAAGGGAGCAGTCACCTGGTATCCAATAGTAGAGGGGACCTGGTAGTTAAAAACAGACTAAGGTTGCCAAAGTCTCGGGCACACATGCCTTTGTCATCCGGTAGACGTCTTTTGCGTTCGACGCGCGATACCGCGAGTATGGTTCAAAAGTTGCGAGTGTATTCCCTTCATTCTCGATGCGTGCGCGAAATAATGTGCGTGTGCGCGTATTGCCGTGGCGAACGGAGTGGATAAAGGAAGGAAACGGAGAGATCGAGCCGATGAAACGACAAATCGAGGAAGAGCGCGAATGTCATACCCCGAGCATATTTCTCTAAGTCAGCTATTTTTACTCATCCATGAGCTATCACACTCCCGAATAGTGTCGTTCGTGTGAACGATTGCCGCGCGCAAAAGTCGCTTGATCCGCCGTGATCGTCACTTTCGGCGCTTTCATTTTGCCGGAGAACGACGGCAACCGACGGCGGCCTTAGAACCGTCCCGGTCCAAAAGCCAGCTTCGATTTTATCCGCCCGAATAGACGAAAAGTAATCGCGATCGACGGCGACGGGCGGCGGCGAAATGAGCAGATACGTCGGGTTTCTCTCCCTCTTTCGCAGCACCAGCAACGGCCTTGAGAGAACCCGTAGTCGATAAATATTAGTTCGGCTTCGAACAGTTTCCCAACGGATTCGAATATAAGTCGACCTCCTTCCCGGGAAAAGCACATAAAAGTGCGGTTTCGCGCTGTTTCTTTTTTTTTTTTTATGCATCGGCGGAAATATATCGCATTTATGATGGCAGCGAAACATTCGCCGTCTCGATGACGATGCTCGTCACGAGACGCAGACGTAGGTTCGGAGCCCGACATCAATATCTCTCGCGTAATCACGCGTGAAGGGATCGCCGCTTTTTGCCCTTCCGGCATAGCGTCGCTCGGCATGTCAATCATGGAGACAGAAAAGAGATACTCGCACGCGTACGGACAACTGCGTAGATTGACCAGCACGATAGACTGTCAAATTAGACAATTGAGTGTGAGTGAAAAAACAGATTTTTCTAAATAGCAAAAAATTCTATGAAAGATAAAAGCAAAAGAGAAATAAGTTTTTTTGCAAAAATCACAAGGACATCGCTGGAATGCGTTGGAGCAGCCAGTTGTGTTTTGTCGCGAGACTTGCTATCACGTTGCGACACGTTATTATTAATAATTCATTAAGCGACCTTCCTTCGCGACGGAGCTTCTGGCGTCGGGCGTTTCGCCAACATTTCTTCGATATCTTCTCTGTGTCTTTTACGAGAGCAGATCATAGAAAATCATAGTTAGAGCAAGGTCGTTCGCCCACAGCTGTAAGAAGCGAGCTCCTCGCGTGCGAGCACTTAGCACGCACGCATATATTTTATACAGAACAGAATTGATATTGATATATAAAATTGTATTGTATGTACGAAATAAATAAGAAAGTGTTTATCTTTGTTTCAGTCCGAATATGGACTTACAGAAGATCAGGTAGCAGGTAAGTTGATGATATAAATAATTATATTATCCCAATTATGAATTAATTGATAAATATGGAATAACTAATTGACAGCCTAGTTTAGACAATTTTTGATTTATATAATTTAAATATTTTGCATACTTAATAATTTATTTGAAGAATAATATGTTTAATTTTGATACTTTATAGTAGTCGTTAATATACATTAATTTTGTAAAATATAACCATGAAATTGCTATACGTGAAAAACATAAACATTGCTATTATAGATCGTGTTGTAGACACGTGCCAATTGGCTATTTTCCCTGCTCATCTAATATCTTTATGCTGACTTAGTTGAAATAAGACAGTGTTAGATGTAATTTTGAAGATGAAACGGTAAAATTTAAGATATCCACAATTCATATATCATGATGTGAAACTAATTTTACTAGATAATCGAGACGAGTGAACACTCGTAGAACACATATACTTGATGCATAGTTTATTACGCATAAATGACTCGTTATGATATCATCATGACATGCAATGATATCGATTACACTTGCATCTATCTTTCTGCGACTGTTTTGCATTTCTCTAGTCATTATATTTTTCTGCAATAATATTGCATATAACAAGTGAAGTATAAAAACATTGGAATTAAAATTATTTATTATTATTAATTAATTAAATTATTAATTAACAAACTTTACGCCTTTAAAAATATTTTTTTTACTTATTATATGCAATTATTATCCATGAACAACTAAAGTTGCGGGGAAAACAAATTACATACATAGATTGGAAATTTTTAAATTATATAAGGCTTGGCTCTTACTAGTCTATGATCTATAATTGTATATTAGAAAAACCTTATATTTTATTGATGTAACAATAAAAAATAAATTAAATCGCTACACATGTATTTTCAACATCGAGATTTACAATTAACAAGTACTCAGCGCATAATAAGCGCGCTTTCAGACACACCGAACAATGACTATTTGTCTCAAGTGTAATAACGACCAACGTATAACGTAACTCTGTTATTTCAGAATTCAAAGAGGCATTCATGCTCTTCGACAAAGACGAAGACGGTACGATTACGATGGCGGAATTAGGGGTTGTCATGCGATCTCTCGGTCAAAGACCATCGGGTGAGTCACTAGCTGTTCGCAAACTTGTGATGCATCCGGGATGCATCTTGTAAGTGTCGGAAACAGTAATTGTAACGGCGACGGCGCGCTCCTTTCAGAGACGGAACTGCGCGACATGGTGAACGAAGTGGATCAAGACGGGAACGGCACCATTGAGTTTAACGAGTTCCTGCAAATGATGTCGAAGAAGATGAAGGGCGCCGACGGGGAGGACGAACTTCGCGAGGCGTTCCGGTAATAAGCCCTCCCCGGAGATTTAATTGTCTCCGCGGGCGATTGCGTTGAAAGAACTGTCGTTTTGAGACGACTCTCGCCCGCGGGAAATCGTGCTTTCAAAATGCAGATAAACTGCTAAACTTAGCACTTTGCTCGTTTCTTCTTTCAGTGTATTCGATAAGAACAACGACGGCTTAATCTCCTCAAAGGAGCTGCGCCACGTAATGACGAACCTTGGTGAAAAGCTGTCCGAAGAGGAGGTCGACGACATGATCAAGGAAGCGGATCTAGATGGCGACGGAATGGTCAATTACGAAGGTAAAGGTGCTTTTGTGCGACGCGAAATTTGTTCTAAGCGACATAAAGGATATATTAACTCTTTATTTGCGTGTATTTATGAAAGCGATTTTATCAAGAAATACGGTCGTGTCTCGCGTCAAGTTTGGATTTGAATATTTAATTCCATTATGCTGAAATGGCTGGTGTCAGTTTAATAGTCGTGTTTTAGAATATTTTGCGGTCTAGCAGCGTCAAGCTTTAAATACTTTTCATAAATAATGCGTGTGTGTCGCGCTTTTAAAATATTATAGTTGCACGAAAAATTGATATAGCTACGTGCGCCGGATTTTCTTTATTTTACACAAATGTTTATGCCCAGCGCATGTGTGTTCTTATTATCACATAAATATGCGTGCATACTAATATAAAATATAAAACGTGAGATTATAAAATATGAAAGGACTTTATCTGACAATTTTAAAATATTTATTTATTCATAAAATACTTATTTATTTAGTTCATGATTTAGTTCGAAGTTGTGAATTATTTAGTCTATTAAAGAGAATAATTTATCAAATTGCTGACTGTCTAGTAAAGCGCAAAATACAATAAATTTTAAAAAACATTTAACCACGAAAGATTAATATTCATTTTTGCTGTCCAAAAAATCCACACGAAGAAAATTTTATATCAAAAATTATTATGATACGGTAGTAGCCGCGGACCATAAGAGAGATTATAGGGTTTAAATATGTGAAAAACATTTTTCATAATAGAAATTTTTATGATTCCTTTATGGTTTGCGGCTACTGCCGTACATAGTAATTTTTGATATAAAATTTTCTCTGTGCAGTCGCATTTATCTCAAATAACGCGGAAAATACGTTCATTTAGACTGTACGTCCATTTAGAACTGTATTTTATTTAATTGATAAATAGTGAGTTGAGAAATTTATTTTCCAAGAAAGTGCAAAAAAAAATTGATGCAGCTTTATGTGTTAAGGATTTTCTAACGCCAAACGTATCTACTTTACGTTCAAGGCTATTTCAGTTCTTGATAAATAAAAATTCTATCGGCTGGTAAAATAATTTTGCAGAAAGCAAACGATTGATGCATGCCGCTTGACGTCTCAAACTAGCTCTGTCCGATACTCAACATTGCCTTATCATGCAATCGTGCGTGTGTTTCAGAATTCGTGACAATTCTAACGTCGAAAAATTAGTTCGGAGATCGATAAAGGGTAGACTCAGAGATACCAGAAGTGTCGGAGGTTTCCGACGGAGAAAGGATAAACGCCGCTCAAGTTCCTCGATTTCCCAGGATCCGTGATGAGAGGTCGTTTCACACTCCATAGAGCTGCGACGCCCAAGATCGTCGAAAGAAACATCAAGAACTCATTGATGGCTCATTGCCGATTAAGCGTTGAGCGTTGAGTATTTAGGCGATGCGAATCGCATGACACGAGTTGCACGAAAACATTTCGATTTTACGATATCGCTAAAGCTTTGAGAGACGTGTCGGAGGTTTCGCGAGCGCAAATAGAGCGCAAGTAGAAAACGCAGAGAATATTGAAGGAGTCTTTGTGTCACTCGTCCGTTGCGGGACGCGAGTTTTGCCGCGGATTCGCTTTGGCTTAGGCCGGAAAAGAGAAGAGACTTTACTTCCGCGAGTTGCACATACGTACACGCATATACATACATGCATATATATGTACACATATATATACATATATATACGTATACATATATCTATATATATATATACACACACATAACACAATTCGTGCTCCTTCGGACTAATCTTACAATTAAACGAGTAATTTTAGGCATAATGGTAAACGTAATATGCGATAAACAAAGAGATTATGTCAAAACGACAGGGGCAGGGGGAGGGGGGTTAGGGGGACGCAACCCGCCGCCACCCGGAACAATCAACCGAGCTTCGTTTAGACTCTTTTACGTACCTATAATCTTTATCTCCCCCACCGGTAACTTTACGGAGCGATTTAGAAGTTAACTAGCTTTCCATGCCCTCTTGAGCGCTCCGGCGAAAAGGTCCTGGAGTATATTAGTATATATACATATATACGCGATATGTTACACATAATATATGTATGTAAGAATATATATACATATATTATCGTTATTATTATTATCATTACTATTATTCCATTTGTCGTTTTCTTGAAACGCGATGCCTATGAAAGGTACCGTACTTCGAGTGTTTTTACCGCTTGTACTACACGCAGAGAGACGCGCGTAATCCAAACTATGTAATCACACACACATATATATATATATATACACACACACACACATACGTCTCCCGTCCATTTCGTCGCCCCTTCTCATTCGCCATCGTCTCCCCGATTTTCTTAGCGATTCTAAGAGCGGGGCACGCCGACGACGCACGCTGATGAGTAATTGATACACCCCCGCTTTGGCACGTAGTGAACACGCTTTCAGCGATCATTCACGGGTGCCGCTTTCCGTAATTAGACGTCATCGGAGTGGACGAGTGCCCTGGTTGAAAACGCGCTTCGATAGTCGACATTAAAAAAAAAAAAAAAAAATTAACTATGATATTCCTGTGGAAACAGCGAAAAGATTATTATTTATGGGCGAAATTTGAGAAAGAGTGTTGTCGGGGAAGAGATTAGCTGACGACTATTGAGAAGGAAGGTGGTTCGTATAATTTAATGTATTCTAGAAATAATGTTGCGACAATCGACAATTCCTAATTATCATCTTCAATGACCATAGCTGCTATCGATGCGACAACCGGCGGGTATCTATAGCCAATGGCTATATGACGGTGGCCTTTGGCAAACGATAGAATGAGAGAGAGAGAGACAGAAACAGAGAGAGAGAGAGAGTGAGAAAGAGAAAAAAGAAAACACTACGGGAACAATTCAACCAGGGTGATTATCGCGACGCGTGATCATCTCTTTCATTCCGCGCGTTGGCGAGAGGAGGAGGATTCCGAAAGAATAAAGATACGGCGACGTGTTTACCGCTGTCGCACAATCACCTGCCATTACACACCGTCGGCGCTCAAACCCAGAAGCGTGTCTTATGCTTACACGCGCATTATGTCATGGTATGTACCTTTAGACGTGTTATAAGAAAAAAAAAAATACACACATCACAGAAATCCCGCGCGTAGCACGCGACATAGACGGTAGTATCTAGTAACCATAGCGATAGATAAAAAACAAAAAAAAAAGAGAGAGAAAGAGAGAAACGGCCGGAAGTGAACGGCGGAGAGCTGTACACGCGGATTATTATATATTATACGTGATGATGTTGCTACCAAAAGAAGAAAAAAAAAAAAAACATGAAATACGTAGATAGTCGTATAGATATACATATGCATATATAAATATATATTTAATACGCTGTATGTATATATGTCCTCTGCCGCCCGCGCTCCACACACATATACGCACGCACGCATGCACGCACGCATGCACGCGCGCGTAGTCCGGCCCGGCACGAAGCGCGAGGTGAGGATACGCGAGATTTGGTGGCGCGAGTCGCGAGAGGAAAACGAGAAGGTCGGAATGTAGCGAGAATAACAAAGCGCGAGCGCATTTCTCGCGTACTATCAATTGGAATAATTCTGTTTCATTTTTTGCACGTGACGATCTTTATTATTTATGAATCTACTCATGTACAGTCGCACATGCTGATGTGTATTACATTATCTTTTTGTGTTTCTTTTCTTATCTAAATATGCCATTTTTCACACCATTCAAACGTCAAGCCAAGTTCAAACTATAACGTCAAGTTGTTTCAAAACCATTTATTCCGATTGATTGTATGCATACGCTATAAAAAGTAAAATGAGAAAAGTAGAAAGAGAGATAGAGAGAGAGAGGGAAAGGAAAAAAAAGAGATAAAGTGAGCAACTCTTTCAAAAGAGACTCCGGGTAAAACGCGCGTGTTTCGAGGTCTGGGCAACTCGATCACTTTTTTTTTTCAAATACCAAGAACAAAAAACGAGAAGTGGTTGCGGCCTGGAACGTTTGTCGGACGAAACGTTGATTACGAGTGCATAGAGATAGACAATAATTCTGTTGCTCTTTATAATCCGGTTAATCGACAATTGCGTTATGTTTGACGGCGAGCCTAGCAGATTAGCAAAGTACGAATGCGCGCTCATCTCGAAAGGACGGTGCAATTAGCGATGAGAGAGTCTAGGTTGCCGAAAATGCCAGGAACTTTGATGATCTGACAAATATGATTACTTGTACATATGTGACGCGCGAGACGCATGATTAATGCATCGCATATATTACTTTCGCAGGCGAAAGCTGTGATAGAGTCATTGATTTTTCGAATAATCAGAAATGCGGACGATTTTAACGCGAAGGTGGTTTAAATCAAATTTTGAAGCGCAATCAGTTGAAGCGAGAGACGCAGAGCTCGGCGAATCACGAATTAACGTAATGTACCTGTTTTACGATCTTCAGAATTTGACTTACATTACATTTAAGATGAACAGTTTGCACGCCACATCCCCGACAGAATTCTGCCATAATACGCCGATGAAAAAATGCTCGTTTCCGTTTCTGAATGCGTTTGATTTGCAAAAAAGTTTTAACAAACTATAAAAATACGCGCAGAGAAGATTTGTTGTTGCTTTTATCACATTTTGACTAATATATGTTTGTATTAATTAAAAAAAAATTGTAACGCCGCTTCTCCGAGAGCAGCGAATTAAACTTATGGCAGTCTTCTCTCGGCGGCGCGATAATTTACGAAGCACCCGAAGAAAGCGAGAGAAGAAAGGAGAAGGAAAGCATACCTGTGCAACTAACATCGAGTCTGTTCATAAGCGCAGGCTAAACACGCATCATAAGACGTACTAAAGGCGACGTGGATTTTCTCGGCGGCGCCTCAACACGCGAATACACAAGCGAAGAGATATAGCCGCGTTTTTGACAATAATATATTTTCTTAACGCTTATATATCTCGAAGCGAGATGTCCCACCGCGCAGTGTCTTTCTTTCCGCTGGTAACAGCACCGTTCCACAATGACGCTACGTTGATTATGCTTTTCAATTTATCGAATAATCGGGATGATCGGCGATGACGCTATTCGTCACGCACCGTAACGAACGCTCGCTTCCTCACATGCCTCGATTAGCAAGGAAACGTGGAAATCGTAGGCGTCGAAAGCCGCGAACACTCGAAACACCGCGACCTGGAATGTTAGGCTACGCGAGCGCGAATCGGCACGGCGAACAGCGACGCTTCGATAGATAAGAGAGAGAAAAAAAAGTGAGAAGCGGCTTGATAATACGTCACAAATAGCAATGTATAACGTCCTAACGACAATATTTCTAACGGTTTAATTGAGAAAACTCACCGAGAAGAAGCAGATATGTACCGTTGGTCCGCCCCTAAAGTATTAAAGTATCACGAGATTATATATCTATATAATTCTGACAGTGATAAGTTACTGCACGTCAACGGCAAGTGTCGTTATCCGTTGTCGCAGCGTCACGCATCTTAGATTTCGTACTGTCAGCTCGCATCTCTCTCCTTTAAGGAAAGTTACTGCTAACAGCTCCGGTTTGCGAATGATATTATCCGCGCGGGGTGATGCGATTAGCTGAAGAAGCGGATAAATTAATACGGATTAACAAGCACTAATCGCCAAGATTGTAAACTAGAGTTACTTTCAATCTCAAGATTCTGATAATCTAAACCTGTAATCTGATAATCTAAAATGATTTTTCCTCTTGTTTTTATAAAATTTCACTGTATAGTACTAATCGTGTACAAATGTGCTCGGATTAAGCAGAACTTAGAAGAATAAATCTGTCTCCTCCTTTTTCAGCACATTAAAATTAATCTTGAGAAAAGAAATTCTAAAGGTGCAGTATTCAATTTTCAAGACACAGACACGACATTCTAATCATCTGAAAAGTCGTTTACGTTGAATTTCGCGAAAATTCCGTCACGCGTGTATAAGACGTGATTTTGCTGAACTTCTTTTTTTTTTTTTAATAGCATCGGGATAGTGTGACGCGCGCAGGTGTAAGTACAAAAGATCTGTTGACGTGGGTATGCAGTGAAACTCTTTAGTACACGCATAAGAGGAATGGATCGTTTGATGATATGATAAAACACGATCGTATGGTGGAACGTGAAAATTCGAGAAGCGTGTGTATACGCGCAAAACGCAGTGTGTGATTTCATCAAACTTGAATTCGATTAAATGCACTTTGTTTGTCAAGATGACCATCTCTTTTAGAGATAAAAGAGGTATGCCATATTGCAGAACATTTGGCATGCGCAAAGGGAAGAGCAGTTAGGTATCGTGGTTTATTTTTTTAGCGCTTTAACAGTACAAAAACTAATCGGAGAAGTGTCCATACTGTACCACTAAGTTACACAAATTACGATATTGTTACTGTTACGTGGTACGTAAACTTTTCCTATTATATCTTTCAAAGAGTTAGGAATTCAATGCTCTTTGCTTGGAAACAGAAGGCAAAGAACTTTCTCTCCCCCGTCCTCCGCGATTACATTACTTCTGTTTGACGCGAGAATGGATTTCTCGTCGAACTTCGAGATATTTATTATTATATCACTTGCTCCAAGGCAGAGATATTTTTATAGATTACACTTTGCTCTTTAAAATCCTGCTGTGCAGCGTAATACGAGTCACATAACATAACACTGCACTGCATTGCATTAGATTGCATTGCACTGCATTGTATTATATTTTGTAAGGGTGTGTCAGAAGTCGTGCACTTTCCTTCTGTCGCAATCGAGCAAAAAAAAAAGATTACAATAATTTTTTGAAAATACAAAAATGAAGTACAAATGAGAGAAAGAGTAAGAAATTTAAGAACCTTGTCGGGAATTAATTTAACTTTTGTACTTGTACATAGTTTTAATTTAAGGCTTGATTATCAAGTTATTTAACGTTAATAAATAAAACATTCTGAAATAATGACAGATTACACATTTGACAATGAATAATATACTTCAAACTTATTGTGAAATTTGTCGTGCAGAAAAAGTGTAAGATACTCTTGGGACACCCTGTATGTTATATTGTATTATATTATTATACATATACGCGTCTACACAAGTTATATCTATCGCAGAATTGATAGATTTTCGACGTAGATGTCCGCTGGCTCTCTCTTGCCTTGTCATCAGCGTCTTGATAACAGATCACTGGATACGTGTAATTAATTGTGATTGTGAAATGTGTGACACTCTGCCTCAGAAATTGTCATAGTTAAAATTGTGCTTTTTGAGTGCTGTCAAGGTTTTCATTAAAATTCTTTTTATTTCCAAGAACTTTTATTAAACAGTTTCGAGGATGCAATAATCTCAGCAATTTGTTGCTAAGACGCTGGTGGCAAAAAGAGAATCAGCGATGTTCTATCTCAAAAATCAGCTGCAAATTGCACTAGACTTTAACCCAACTCTATTCTATCGAAATTGTTTTGCGAACTAGAAGTTCAGGTTCGAGCGCACGAACGATACTCTTGGTTGTTCTCGTAGGCTCCTGCTGTTAAGTATCGTCCACGTGCAGGATGTCTTGAAAATATACTCTCGTGAGAAATGAGTATTGAAATGTGCTTCTCGCGTGCTCAAATCGTCTACACATTTGCAAATACATCTCGAGCGCAAAATTGATCATGAAGAGAGAATGCGTATTTCTGTTTATGTTTTTCAAGACACCCTGCACGTTCCAATTTCGCTCTCCAGAAATAAAGGTACGCGAGTCTTCCTTCCGATATATACTTAATCGAGATTTCTTCTCTGATATATTTTGCTCGCTTTTATCGTCGATCGCTGCCTGCGAGCCGGGCACCGAACAAAGAACTCAATAAGCTTATCGATGCAATTACAGGCAAAAATTGTAAGAATTGTAGAAATCAATGAGACTTCTTTATAATATTACTTGATCGAAGTTATTAATATTTCATATGAATACTTCGTATAATATTTGAATAAAATTTCGTCTCGTCTTGGCGATTGTAGCGGCATCGATTAACAAAGCCAATCATTCTTCATTAACTCTACCTTATTTTTCTTATTGATAATATAGAGCTAGCTTAAGGGAGAAGAAACTTTTAAAATACACTACTCCACAAAAAACAAGGAATACTTTTCAGATTCGGCGAAAAATTATCGTTTGAAAGTTGCTCGATTTTAAGCATCTAAAAAGTGATTCTTATTCTTTGTGAAATAGTATAAATTAGATGCTGAGTTTTTTGTTAAGAATGGGCAAACTTTAACTCATAATGAGAAACAGAAAATAATAAAATTATTTAAATAGCTATTTAAATGTGAATTTTTAAGAATTACAAGTATGAAAGATTATTTACATTAATGCAATATTATTAAACTAAAACATGTTAACATAAAAATAGAAAGCGCAAATAATGTAAGTAATTAAAAAAAAAAACACGTCAGTCCCTTAAGCTGAACCTTATTTGAAACTGATGTTTCCACACAGAATTTTATAATACAATTATGCACTTGATAAATATGTCTCTTGATTTTTTCACGGTCGCATTCTCGAGAAGCAACATTATTATTTCTCGATCTGTCAATCAAGATCACATATATTTGATTCGTTTTTATGCACTTTGCGATCTTTCAGAATTCGTCTCGATTTCGAATTACGAAATATATATAAATATATATATTTCAAACGCAGCCTGTAATAAAAACGAGCGATTTTAAGGCGTCTAAATCGTTTCGGAGATATTCAAAGTTCGCCTAAGCAACGCAAACACAGGCAAGAGTGTAATATAAGCTAGCTTAACATCAAACACACACACATTGAAATACTGCAAATATATATATATATATATTGATAGATACGTGAAGAGGAAACCTGATTATCATAGATATACGGTAATTAAAGGATAATTGTTAAATAAGTGTAATTAAATTGTAACAATTGTGTGCAAGGGCTGTCGCTTCTGAGCGACACGATCTTCCGTTCATTAAGGATCTGCAATTTCGTCGTATTATATCGATCCGACACCGCTCCTTTCTTACGAAATGATTTATAGGGTTTAATGGGAAACGTGGATGATTGTAGGTAACGTGGGACATTACATTGTGAGCACGGAGCATTTTTAAACGTTATATTTTGGATGTCGTTCGGAAAGTTGCGTCATTCTAGTTCCTCTGCTTGCTTTTTATTTTCGAGCAGATTTTCCGCAAAGATCGAGAACAGTTTGTTGTGTTAATCTCGGTCAATGGTATTTGAGAGAGAGAGGGAGAGAGAGAGAGAGAGAGAGAGAGAGAGAGAAGAGAGAAGAGAGAGAGAGAAAGAGAGAGAGACAAGTTTTGCGCGTTTCTTATGATTAGCTTTGTATCATCCTTTTCCGCTGCACGTGGCGAATGTTTTTTAATTCGCGCCTAAATGTCACGCGAGAGAAGAACAAATGGAATCGTGAGCAGGCAATAACCGTGTGCGACATCGCGACCGAAACACGACAATGTTCAAACTAGTGTAGTAAGGAAATGTCTTTCATTAACTTTGTTAAACGTTATGGGAAGTACAAGCCGCGTTATCGGACAAGCATGTGCGCGTATTTTTATATTCAATCTAGCTAGCTAGATCAGTGAGGAAACATCTGATAAAGATTCGAATTTCTCGCATGATCGAGATAATGCACTTTTAATGGAAAAAAAAGAAGAAATGCAAAAGAATTAATAAAAATTAATAATTATTTTAATGATTTAATATTTACTTGAGTAATTTTATTAATTAAATTATCTTAAATGTTTATGTGATAAATAATGTGACATAAAAAATAATAACTGTGTAATTGCAATTTTTGTTTGAAGATTTTGATTGAAGATAATTGACGAGAGTTCACGAGAAAACGTGTACTTATTCTAAATTTCTGAATTATGTCCTGAAAAACGCATTGTGAGAAAGGCGCACAAAGAAAATTAAGAGCAACGTCGATGAGAGTTATGGTTGGAAATAGTCGGGGTCTATTAAAAAAGATATAAAAATGAGGAAAAGAGAAAATAATATGTGGAAATATATGTTTACACGGGGAGACACATTGTGACGAAATATTTATATTTTTACTTGAAAAAAAATGGCTTCGATAACGTTTGTAATAACTAATTCCCACAAGGAATGTCTATAACATTATTTTTCTAGAGCAAATAAATAAATAGTTATTATTGCGTTATGGCAAAAAGTGTTCTCAAATGGCAAGCAGGCCTAAACGCGACTTTTTACGACGATAAACTTAATACGTATACAAGTATGTTTGGCAAAGGAAATATCTATATTTGTTGTTCATTTGTTTGTATCGTATAGGGGATGTTGTTGTGCTGTTGTTTTATTAATGTTACTCCGCAAATTATACGACATGTTTTTGACAGATTGTAAGTAACTTTTTCAAAAAATTTATATTTGTATTGGAATCGTATTGTTGCGAGTTTCGCTGTGAGTGCATTCGAAGTGTTTATGCTTAACACTTAAGCAGTTGCGTTTTTAATATACTTAATGTATATTTTTAATGTAATTTAATGTACCTAATTATATATGGTTAATTGATATAATCAGTCACTTGGTTCTGCTTTTACTAAATCTATTTTATTCGGAATTTCTTTGACTACACATTACCTGGATATTATTTAGACTGCTGTTAATTAAAAAATAAGCAAATACTCAACTAAATAATTTGCGACTGTTTAAATGTTAATTTATTTATTTCTACATAGTAGATGTTCATGGATGTACAAGCACAATTACTGCGCATTAGATAATTCGCTAACTTCTACAATCACTATTTCGTATATGTGGAAGTCAATTTATTATTTATTAGTGAGAAAGAAAAAAATTATTCAAAACACACATACAGTGGTGGATCTACATTTTACAATTACAGTTGAGTGCATCGGTGACGAGATTTTATATTTGGAATAATATTTTATAATTGTTACTACATTTCTAATTAATTGATATGTTTTCCGATAATTTAACAAGAAAATTGGTAAAAGCGTTCTCTAACATACTCTAATACATTAATAATAAGTAATAAGATGTCATACATTCTAATAATAAATGCACTCAATGATTTCTGAAACATTACACATATAGCGGCTCAATAATCAAAATTTAATAGACACTCTCAGTACTGTAAGTTAATATATTATAGTTAAGAGGTAAAGAATGGCTGTCGCAGCTATCAAAAAATGTACGGATAATCAAAAGTATAATGCTATAGAAGGTAAACAATATGTAAGAAAGAACGTACGGTAGCAATATTTTAATATGATTAAAATTGAAATTTATGGAAACAAAATTCTTCTAAATAAGTAAAAGAACACAACTTTCTTATGTTTTACATAAGTAAAAGAACACAACTTTGTTAGGAAATAACTTCATTTTATTCATTTTTATCAAACAAACATAGAGAAATGTAACTCAGTTTTTTTTCTTAACTGTAATTATAATTTTTTAAGTTGATACTTTCTACTTGTGTTTTGTCATAAAATAAAGGAAAGTCAGAAAGAACAGGAATTCAGAAAAAAATATTATATATCCGTTTGTGCGTGTACGTGCGTGCGTGCGTGTGTGCATAAGTGTGAATGTATGTATGTGTGTGTGTGTTATGTGATGTTAAACGTTTGCGACCATGTAATGTTATATACTATAATATTACAACAGGACATAAAGGTGATAAACACTGTGTATTAATAAAATGCAATATATGTATCGAGTTGCCCCTAAATACAGCCATTTTATAATGGATATTTGTTCGTAGTTGTTTGTAGTCACCTGTCGATATAATAGTGATGTACTAGCATTAAGTTTATGCTAGTTCATAAAGGAAAAAGAAACAACTAATAGAAAAGAAAAATTTATTCATTGGTGAGAAATGATAGCGGTACAAATGATAGTGAAGATTTCTTTTAAAATAAAGAATAAAATATAAAACACAACTTCTTGATAACTTTTATGGTTTTAAGCGAATCAACTCTGTATATGAAAGCGATGATCAATTTAAATATTTGCGCTTGAATGCTATGGACGCTTTTAACTCGGTTTATTGATCAATACATCGCAATACATGCGTTAACGACCTTAGAAGTTGTTTGCATGACATAACGTATTATAGCATCGAATATCGATGTCGTTCTCAGTTTTCGGAGATCTTCCGACGAGGTAAGAACGGAAAGGTGTAAATATTCTGCAAAAGTTATAATTCTTAATAATGTCTTAATTGCAGCTAATTATTACAAAGTACTGTGCTTCAATTGTCGTATAATTTTATTGTACACAGAAGGTAAGTAACTAAAAACAGAAAGTTTATATATTTTCTTTTAAACATTGAATCAACGTGTAGACTATAATTTAGATGGTTTCAAACACACTTTTTTTCGAAAACGAATAAGATGAAGGATTGTTTTATAATGTACAATCATTAATTATGGATTAATGTAGACAATTAAAGATTTCTTAAAATGAGATTATTATTATATAACCATAGTTTTTGCTTGAAAAGTTTTTTGTGATGATATATTAAATGCGATTAATTGTTTTAAAAAAAAGTATTTTAATCAGTCATTTTAATATACTATTTCAATATACGAAGTGAGTTACCAGAAACCAAGACCGAATGTTAACATCATTTACTTTAATCAAGTTAATTAAATTAGTAAATTAAACATATTTTTTATCAATATCTAATAAAGAACTTCAAGCTTTTATATAATAAATACATGTATATAATAAATACATGTTTACGAAATTTATGTTTTTATAGATACTTAAAAGATGGCAAACCTACAATTGTTATTAAACAGCGGATTAATATTGATCATTGCCACGGTTTTGTCTAGCAGTCAAAATTTATACACTAACGATATCAATGAATTAAATAATCGTTTGTTAAATGATATCTTTCCGGAACACTACGACGTTGAATTGACACTGCTGAACCTTGAGAACACCGCTGTAAATTATTTTAACTTCTTTGGCAAATGCAATATCATCGTCAAAATCATTACACGGATTACTTTTTTTAAAATAAACGTAGCGCCATCAATAAATATACTTGCTAGCACCATAGTTAAACAAAACCAACCCGAAACAAATATCTCACACCAGAGCCAGAATTATGTAAACGAACTAGCTTCATTTCAAGTCTTCAACTTTTATCCACTTGAACTTGAACCAGGAATGTATATCGTGAAATTGGGATTTAATGGTACCGCATATGATAATGAACGTGGATTCTTTCGTACCTCCTACATGCAGAATAGAAATAAACGGTGAGTAAAAATATAAAACTATATAAGAAATATGTAATCACACAATATTATGAAAGCTATTAAAATTGAACGGATACGTTAAAATTATATAATAATTTTTCTAATAGTAAAAAATGTTAACAATGCTGTACATTTATTGTTATCTGTTTTTTGATTACTTCTCTTTTTTATTATCTAAAGTATTTTATTTAAATATTATAGATGGTTGCTCGCAACGAATTTCCAGCCAAATGGGGCTCAACAAGTGTTTCCATGTTTTGATGAGCCAGCATTTAGGGCCACTTTCAGTATCTCCATAAATTGCAATCAGAAATATCAAGTAGTATCGAATATGGCACTCAATTTTGAAAAGTTTAGCACTTCTGGTTCTACAAATAATCTCCAAAGGGCAATTATTAACACTACGCCTAAAATATATCCCAATCTCGTGGGATTTATGATCTATGATTTTCTTTACGATTATACATTAGTACAAGAACAAACACACAGAATATATTTTAGAGACATTAAATTACATGTAAATTTTACGAAAAAAGTTATTGAAAACATTACATCGCTTTTCAAAGACGATTGGCGGAAATTGGAAGAGATTGTGGAAGTAATTGCAGTTAAATATGTCTTGATTCCTATTTTTCCGTTTGATGGCAAAAATAATTGGGGACTTGTTTATTTTAGGTAAGATATATATATAGAAAAATGTTTTACTAAGAAGCTGTATTATTTTTAGTATTCAAAATTCAATTTTTGTTGTTATAATTTTATTAATAAACAGAATAATTATTAATTTTAATATTCATAAAACAAGTTTGAAATAATCGCAATATTTACAAATCATTTTTAGAGAAGCAAATGTCATTTACAACCAACAATTAGATTCGTTTGGGCGCAAAATAGAAGTGGCGCGCTTAATAGCACAGAAAATGGCACATCAAGTGTTTGGTAATTTAGTTAGTCCTTCTTGGTGGACTGATCAGTGGTTGAACGATGGTATTGCTGTGTTTTTTGGCATAGATGCTGTTAATAAGGTAATTTCATTATAGTTTTAATATACACTCTCTCGTTTATAGAACCTATTTAATATTGCAAAAATTTGCAAATTTTTAATATATTTTTTTAATCTTTATAATCATATTGCACACTATTTTTGAGAATTTTTCTTAGCAATATTTTTAAACTTTATAATTTAAAATAGTAGATATATTCTCAGCAATTTTCACGAAGCGATAGCGACGGTAAATATTACTTGCGGAAGCATTTATTATTATTATTCAATACTCATCTAAACTTTTCTTTTTAGACTTTTCCAAACACTCGAATGTGGGATCTGTTCGTAGTTCGAGATTTACACGAATCGCTACATTTGGACACTTATTTTTCCATGAAACCTCTTTCTTCGGCAGACTTTAGCAGTAGCTTTGAAATTGAGACAACTTACTGCTTTTTCCGTTATTTGAAAGGTAAGACTGAAATGAATTGTTATAATTAAATATTGTCTATAAATTTCTAAATGTAATCAAAAATTAAAAAAAAATTTAATAGATACATTTGTATTATCAATCATACATCAATCTTATATGTATCAATATTTTAATTTCACATGATGTATTGTTATAGCACCTGCTTTGTTACGCATGTTGCATCATATAATGACCGATAAATTATTTCGAAACGGAATTCATCTATATCTTAAAACATAGTAAGTAGAAAATGTATAAAAAGTATAATTATATTTTGTATGTATTTCACTTACTTTTTATCGTACATTTTTTGTTTTCTTATTGATTTTCTATATGCGCTTTTAATTTTTTCTCTTTTTTATCTTGTAGTTTAGATTTTATACTACTTTTTCCTTTGTTGTTTTATTTTTGCTTAATATCATTATCTTTTCTTCTAAATATTTTATATTTTGTTTTTATATCTATATATATAAATATTTTATATTTCTTTTTTTTTTTATTTTTATTTTATTTTTTGGCCAAATTATTTTTGTAATGCTTTTCTTTGTTCATCTTTTTTGACTTATTTTCTTTTAGCTTTAATTTTTTCACTTTATTTAATTCCATTCTTTCGCTCTAGTAAAAATTTTTAATAATTTAATTTTCTGATGCAATCTTACAATACTTACTATTAATAACTAAGCTTTACAAATTTAGTCAGTATAGGACAGCAACTGTTGACGATTTTTGGACCTCTATGCAAGCTGCATTAGATGCTTGGAACGAAGAAAATTGTTTGATTTAAAAATGGCGATGAACACTTGGACAAATGACAATTATCCAATAGTAAATGTGGCAACAAATTTTAAGGAAAATAGTGACATAAATGTGATAGTATCACAAAAAAATAGCAATAAGTTTTTTAAGGATAAATGGTGGATACCTATAACGTGGTTTACGAGTAAGTCACTAATTCATTCCGATCATTCTGCATCAGGCGAAACGTGGTTACATCCAGATGATACAAAAGTTTTAACTACTATCAATAGTGCTAACGATTGGGTCATCGTCAATGCAAATCGAACTGGTGAGAATATACAGATAAAATTGTTATACTTTTCTTTTTATATTTTGTACAATTTTTCTAGAAACGTATTAACATAAAATAATTTTTTGTAAGATGTCCAATTTCTTATATATCTTCGATAAAAAAAACAAAAATATTAACTAAAAATATTTTTGTATTTTAAATATAAAATTTAAATATTGATAAAATTTATATTTTTTTGGGACAGGATATTATCGCGTCAATTATGATAACCAAAATTGGCAAAGAATTGGAAACTTTCTGAATTCTTCACATTATAAGCAAATACATGTCCTCACTCGTGCTCAATTAATCGATGACGCGTTTCATCTTATGGTAGCTCAGAAACTGAAATCACGTGTATTTTGGAAATTCACAAACTATTTGTCGCAAGAAACGGATTATATAGCATGGTATCCCATGATCAAAGCATTGGAATACATGTCGAGTATTTTTCCATTTTCAAATAAGAAAGTCGAGAATATTAAGGTATGAGGTATTAACAAATTTGATATATTGATTTCGGCTACATAAAAAATTATGTCGTTGCATGTATAACGTAGATATTGTATTACAACTTATACCGATCAAAGAATTGTAGCTTATAGCCTTTGAGAAAAAATAATATATATTTACGGAGTATGAATCCAGCAAAAAGAAAAAAATTTTTGAAAGAGTTTTGTATACATTTTATATGAAAAAAATTTATTCGATAAAAATTTGTATATACATATACATATTGACGCGCACACATGTCTTTGACAAATAAATTCATATAAAATTTATTATTCAATATTTTTAGGCACACATGGTAAAAATCTTAAGTGCACTTCTTAATAAAATAGGATACAATGAAAAATCCAATAGAGACAATCTTACCAGATGTTTAAGAGAAGAAGCAACAAAGTGGGCATGCATACTTGGCGATCCTCTGTGCAAAAAATATGCACTTCAAAAATTACAATGGCATCTTGAAGATCATAAAAAAAACAAGTAATTTTTGCTATAATTATAATTCTTTTCTAATCTAATTTTGCTTACATTTTACAATGAATTGCTAAATTTTCAAAACGGCAAACTAAATCTACGAATTTGTTCTACAAACTTTTTAATCTTTTTTTTATTGCTACAGACTTTTACCGTGGTGGAAGGAATGGACACACTGTAAAGGCTTAATGACAGCGGATAGTATGATTTGGTACAGTGTGGTCAACGTATGGGACACGGATCATGATAATACACTGTTAAAACACTTACTGTGCTCTGAAGATTATTATATTGTCTTTCAATCTATAACATTAATGTTGGACAATAATGACAAAAACATTATAAATGTACGATCCAATGATAGTGTTCATTATTTTCTGTCTCTTCTTTCAAAACATGCCAATAACGAACATTTACTCGAGGATATACTTGATCAATTTTTGGATATGAAACCCAAGTAATGATATTTTTTTTATAAATATATAAATATTATATTTGCATGATTATTTTTTTTTACGTAATAATAATAGGAATATCATTTATTAGATGTGCTAATGATAAATGACATCAATTTTTATTTTACAGTAAAGTTACTGAGACTGCTGCGTTAAATATTATTATTAATCATATATATTCCAAGAAACAACTTCAAAAGGTAAATTTTACAAATTAAATATTATAGTTATACAAGACCTTTATTATTAAGTTTTTTTATCTTTATTGTGGAATGCGACACACTCATATAAAATTATGTCATTAAATTATTCATTAGTTCGATGCGGAAATAAAATGCTTCTTGAGAATAAATAGAAAAAAACTTTTTTCAGGTTAAAAAGTTTGTGAACAACAAATTGTCAGATCTAAAATTAAAAGTTCATTACAAGATTGAAACACGTATAACTGAAATTAATAGTCGAATCAAATATCTTCATTTCGTTTCAAAATAGGTAGAGATTTTGGATATAGAGTATAGAACCGATATCGCTAAGTGGTAAATAAATGGAACTAATAAAAGATGACAACTGCAAAGCATGAATATCTTTTTTTGTTTATATTAAATATTACAATTAGATTTTGATATTAATATTTGTAATAAATTATAATTTTTATTATTAAATATAAGTATAACTGTAAAAAATAAATATACATAAGAAATAATGATGATAATTTTTGTGAAATAAAATATAAAATATGAAACATATATGTCTTAATAACTTGCATGTTTCCAAGCAAAAGAATTTTAAATATGAAGATAATCGGTTGTATTATATTGACATTTTTACTGATTTGCCTTGTTGACCAGTAATATAAACGTTTTTAACCTTAGAAGTTGTTTACACATCATCACTTATTGTAACGTCGAATATTGTGTCGTTCAGTTTTTCGGGGTTTTTCGAGAAGATAAGAGCTTCATGCAACCAATTGTTACAAAGTACAGTGCTTCAATTATCACATAATTTCATTGTACATGTGAAGTAAAACCAGAAAATTTGTGTATCGTCTTCTGAACATAAAATCAATGTATGCAACATAATGTAAGTAGTTTCGAACACAGGGTTTTATTTTCGCAAAAGGATAAAGTAAAAAATTTTCTATAATGTAAAATTTATTGGATTGATATAGACAAACTATACACAAATGTTAGAAATCAAATGCACTATAAACCGCGTTCATAGTGTAAATTAAAAAAAAACACTGTTTTTATTATATTTTAATATTAATTTATCGTAAATTTTGCATATTAATAATTCACTATTATAAAACATTTCAATCAAAATAATAAAAAGATATAATGTAGAGGTAATATTACGTTTAGACGTTTAAAATCGCAAATTTTTTGGCATTTAAGTTGTACTATTTAATTTGCATTGCATATTAAATATGAAACGTTTAATACTGTCTATCTACATTTTATTCTATACAATTTTTATAATAAATATTTACGGCTAATCTCAAAAATTAAGTTAACCGATACATTAAGTAACTGACTCGAACTAAGAAAAAAAATGTTTTCTGATTTTTATAAGATCTTTTGATTAGGATATAGCTAGTAAAGTTTGTTATATAGACGATCTTACAAACTGCCTACATAATACAACA